CTCCCTGCCCCAGGTTACTCTAAAAGTTCGTTACAGGCCAGCAATTCCCCTCTTGCTTAAGGCCCCTGGCTCTAGGCTTAACCCTGGTCAACAGATTGGGGTATTAAGATCCGAGGGGTCCCCCCATCCAACCCTGCGTGCGGGAGGCACACATCCATATTCCACTCACATTAAACAAGAGGTTAAAAGGTTTAAACGCTTTATTGTGCCCAAAAAAGGCCCATGGAATGAAAGGAAGCGCCGCGCAGCCCTGAGCCCGGTGCGATTGTCACGCACCCAAAGGCAGAGAGGATGGGGAAGCCAGGAAGGGATGCGCGCGCGGCCACCGCGTACCCGCGCGCCTGGGCCCGGCCAACCAGCGGCCCCCGCCCGGGTGGGCAGGCGCGGCCTCGGATATTGGCGCCTAGGGGCCGGTAACCATGACGACGGCCGTTGCCAAGGCCGAGAGCCAATAGAGGCGTCGCCAGGGCTGTTTCAAAAACCTAAAGCAAACAACGAAAAACGCTGCTACATCGTTGGGGGAGGGGAGGGACGAAGAGGACTCGGGGCCCCTCCCTGCGGCCGAGACAGGGCCCGCGGCCCCAGCCGGGGCAAGCCTTACAAAATCTACGTCACTTGGGGTAGAAAAACAAAAACACTAAAAAGCCCACGCCGGCCACTGAGACCGGGCCGGCGCGCTCACTTGCGGCCCTTGGGCACTTTGGGGACGTTGGGCTTGGCCGCCTTCTTCACCTTCTTGCCCCCGGCGGCCGCCGTCTTCTTAGCCTTGCCGCCTTTGTCCTTCTTGGTGGTAGCGCCCTTCTTGTGCGAGCGCTGTTCCGGCTTCTGGCCCCTGGCAGGCTTCTTGTCTGCGCTGCGCCGGGAGCCGGCCGCGCCCGGGGCCGCCTTCTTTGCTTTGTGCGCGGCAGGCACTGGGGCGGTGGCGGCCGCCTGGGCTCCGCGCCGCTCTCCGCCGCCCTCCAGCTTCTTGCGGTTGAGCTTGAATGAGCCGTTGGCGCCGGTGCCCTTCACCTGCAGAAGCGTGTCGTTCTGCACCAGCGCCTTGATGGAGTACTTGAGGTAAGTGCGCCCGTTCTGCTGGTCGAACCACGGCACCTTCTTGGCCTCGGCGTAGATCTTGGCCAGCGACGAGCCGTTGCGCTCGCCCAGCCTGCGAATGGTCTCCACCACCAGCTGGCTGTACTTGCCCGGCTGGTTCTTCTTCTTGCTGTTCTTCCTTTTCTTAGATGGGGAGAGCGCCGCCGAGCCGCCAGCCTTGGTCACCTTTTTGGCCATCCCCTCGGCGGTCGTCACCGGCAGGGCCTCCTCGAGCTCCACGGACATGGTAGCAAGCGGGTTGGTGGAGGGCGGCGCGCGGAAGCCGGGGGGCCGCGCCGGGAAGAGGAAGGCGAGGGGCCGAGGGGGTGCAGGGGGGCTGGGGGCGCGCGGCGGCTCCAGGCGGGAGCGGCCGCGGCCGGGCCTGGGGCCGGGCGGCAGGGCTGGGGTGGGGGCCGGGCCGGGCCGGAGCGAGGGTTTGGGGGCCCGGAGCCGGGGCCGGGTTAGGGGACCGAGTTGGGGTCGGAGATCGAGTCCGAGCCGGCGGCTGGAGCTGGGGACGCAGACCTAGGCCGAGCCGGAGAGAAGAGGAATCCCGCCGAACGCGCGCGGCGGCCGCTGTTTCCACTGGCGCCTCTGGAGCTCGCTGAGCGTGCGCGGTGCGCTCTGGAGAGGAGAGCGAGTCTGTCGGCTTTTTATAGGTTCATGGCGGACCACGTTGAGAACAACAACAGCCTGGTCCGGGGCCAGCGCCAACTTGTGCTTCTTGGAGCCCCTTCTCTGGCCGCTGGCTGCTCGGACCGCGCCTCTCCAGCGCCACTGCGCCCGCAGCGGGGCGCCCCAAACGGGGCCTGAGCTCCCAACGCAGTGGAGAGGCGGCTTGCGTCCTGGAACAGCTCAGCAAAGGCGAACGGAGAGGTGCACCCTAGGCTGCGGGAGCGCGAGAGGAGGGGGGCACCTCGTTTGGAGGCCAATAGCGCGGGCCCCAGAGGAGGACCCACGGCCAGGAGCTTGGCGGCCGGCAGCCCAGAGAATGCCACGGGCACCCGAGCACTGGCCCGGCCTGGGGGGCTCCAGGCCTGCCCGCTAGAGGAGCTTTAATTTGTCCAAACTAACACAGGGCGCGCCCTCACGTGGTCGGCTGGGGCAACGTGAACTGCGCTAGGACTTCCTTGGGGGTTTTCCGGCCCATCCAAAGGGGATGGCGGATGGGAGGCACCCTCCAGCTGCACCCATGGGGTCTGGTTGTGCCTCTGGGGACCTGGGCACAACCCGGAGAATGGAGGACGACGACAGGGCCTCTCTGGGGACACAGCCTCGCCGCTCCCCCCCACCCGGTCGCCGCCGATGTTCCCAGGGCCTCATTTTGTGAGGTACAAGTAGCTGCTGCAGGTCTCCACAAAGCCGAATGGGGACTCCAGGGTGGGACAGGGTGGGCGGGGGTGAGGCTGTGACACCCGAAGGAATTCCTGTGAGAGGATGGGGAAGGGACTTGCTCTTAGTTCCTGGGCGCACCCCTCCCCCTCTCCTGAGAGCAGGGAGATGCTGGCGGGAACACAGCAAAGGAGACCAGGTCCTGGAGAGTGGTCCTGGGCTCTACCCTCGCCGAGGGACATGAGCAAGCCTGATGGCCCAAGCTCTGCTGACCCTAGTATTGGGGGTGCAGAGGAGGCACAGGGCAATTTTTGTTGAAGCCAGTGCAGTCTCCACTTGGGGAAGCTGAGACCGGGGTGAGATGCTTGGGTATGAGAGGGGACCCCTTTGCGGGTAGGTGATGTAGGGCACAGGAGTGGGGCTGGGGCTGGGGAGTGGCAGGGGTGCAGGCAGCAAACAGTCTCCTGAGGCCCAGCATAGGAAAGCGATGGAGGTGTAAGGGGGGTGGGGACAGGACGCTGGTGAATTGTGGTTCCTAGAGGGAGGAACAGGCACATTTGCAGGTGGACAGAACAAGAGGCCCTGACAAGGGGGTGGGTGGGTGCATTTGTGGCCTTGGGCCCAAGCAGGCTTCTCTGGGTGAGGGCTGGCCGTGCCTCTCCTTTTTTTCCAGCTCACCCCTTTCACACACACACCCATTTTGTTACCCTGACAAGGGAATAAGCCCTAGAGAGGAAGAAATAAGCCCTAGAGGAGGAAACAGTGAGCCTGGATGGGTTTTCTGGGGGAAGGCTGGCAGGGGCATGGAGCCAGGAAACAGCCTTTGCCTCCAGAGCACCGAGTACCCCAAGAAAAGTGAAAAGAGATTGCAGCCCAGGTCCCTGCAGAGGAAGATGGGCTCCTTTCCCAGGAAGGACCAGGAGGTCTACGCTCTGAACCCTCGGCAGGTCTACGATCTGAATCCTCGGCAGGTGTACGCCCTGAACCCTCGGCAGGTGTATGCTCTGAACCCTTGGCAAGTCTGCCTTGAAGCCAAGTTTAGATATTAACCAGGAAAGCCAGCGGTCCAGTTTCCAGAGGATCCACCTCCCCTGTCCTGCAGGAGGGCTGCAGGAAAATGTTAAGCAATTCAACCTAACAAACATTTACCTGATGCCAGCTGGGCAAAGTCCAGTGTCAGACACAAAAGAGTCCAGAAGAATGAACTGATCCCAGTTTTGTCCTCCGAGTGCTGACCTTGACAAATCGCAGTAGAAAATGTCCTGCACCCTAGGGTCATTGAAGGGTCCACTGAAGAGCTGAGGAACATTGAAGGGAGGAACAAGTCCCACCTTGGGCAGCCAGGGTGGGCTCCCTGGAGGAGGGGACACCTGAGAGGCAATGCCAGAGGAAGCATGGCTTCTGAAAGTAGAGTGCAGGAGGGGAAGGTGCTCCAGGTAGAAGAGGCAACATAGGGAAAGGTGAGGAGGGGGCATCTTTGGAAACCCTGAGCTAGTCCAGTTCTGCTGTGAGAACACTCACTGGAGGCAGGCACTCTGCAGGCGGCCTCTGGCCAAAAAGGCAGATCCCAGCCACATGGGGAGGGCCCCCAATGCCCAGGAAAATGCAGCAGCAGGAGACAGGCCGTGCGTCCGGGCGGAAAAGAGCTCAGGCAACAGTCAGACATCCTGGATCCCAGCCCCTGCTCGGCACCCACGAGCTGTGTGACTGTGGGCAAGTTTCTGAAGCTGAACCTCAGCCTCCTCGTCTATACAGCGGGCATCAGACCATTTATAAGCACAATAAGACACTGTACTTACTAAGGACAACACACTGCCTGGCACCCATGGGCAGCCAGGGTGCCACTGTTTGTTGAGCAATTATCTTTCTGGACATTCATCAGTCTGGATAAGGCACATTCTTTCTGGTACTGCTATACACTCAAAGCTTCCAAGGGACAAGTTCATCTTCACGGTGAAGACTCTGACCAGAAGAGGGGTTGCAGGCTCAGAAAAAAGGCAAAAGGATGATGAAAGTACTCATCAAAGTATTTTGGGGCAAGGAGGACCACTTAGAAAGCATTACGCCCTCATGGTGGGTGAGGAAGGGAGTTAACCATTTCCTTGCTGCAAAGGTGGGCCCTTGACATGGGCTGCTGGTAAATGACCCAGGCTGTGGAGACCAGATAATGTTCTACTCTGGAACTGGCTGCGGGGGCTATCAACCCTTCAGGAGTTGGGGGGAGTGTGAGAGGAAACTATCCAGGGGTGCCAGGATGTCCTGGCATAACAGTGGTCACAGAAGGCCCAGAGCAGGCACCTCCCCAATCCCAGCATCGCCCACAACCTGCTGGGGAGAACGGACGCACACTTAGGAAAGAAGTCACCTTAAAGGGGCTTAACTAGAACCATAGGATGAGCCATAGCAAGTGCTGGCCAAGACATGGAGATCATGGCACCTTCACACACTGCCCCCAGGAATCTGAAGCCAGGTTGGGAAATTGCCTGGCAGCTCCCAAACAGTTAAACACAGAGTTATTCTATGCCCCAGCAATTCCACTCCTAGGTGTCGACCCAAGAGACTGGAAAATACACGTCCACATGTAAATGCTCTCACCAGCTTTATTCATAACCGCCAACATGTGAAAACAATGCAGAGTCCATCAAAGGACGAACAGAGAAACAAAACGCCATTGACCCCTGCAATAGAAAGTTACTTAACAACAAAAAGGAACCAAGTGTGGATACACGCAACAGCACAGATGAACTCTGAAAAACGTGCTCAGTGAGAGAAGCCAGTCACAAAAGACTGCACACATGGTCGTATACAGCTACACCCACTGTGACTCAATTCCCATGAAATGTCCAGAACGGGCAAATGCAAAGAGACAGAACGCAGATTCGTGGTCATCAGGGGCTGGAGAGAGGAGAGAATGGGGAGTGACTGCAATGAGTGTGGCGCTTCCTTTTGGGGTGATGAAAATGTTCTGAAGTTGGACACTGGCGATGGTTGCACAACTGTGTGAATCTACCAAAAAGTGCTGAATTGTACCCTTGAAATGGGTGAATTTCATGTGATATAAATCTTGATAAAAATAAACAGCTATTTTTTAAAAAGTGACTTAAGGCAGGAAACAGAACAGAGTAGTTATGAACAGAGATTGCGAACTGCAGCCCCTGGGCCAAATCTAGCCCCCTATTTCTATGAATAAAGTTTTATTAGAACACAGTCATGCCCATTCACTTCTGCATCGTCTATGGCTGCTTTAGTGAGACAATGACAGAACTGCATAGTTGCCACAGAGACCATATGGCCAGGAAAGCCCACAATATTTCCATCCAGCCCTCCACCAAAGGGTCACCTCTGGGGCCAGGCTCGGCTGCTTGCGAGCTCTGCATCTGTTGTGTGTGTGTGCACACTCGGGTGAGCGTGTGGGTGTGTTCACTCTGTGCCTGCATTGTTGGGTCGCTGTGCGGCAAATGAGCTAGGGCGTGCGAAGTGCTCCTAGGACGGCCTGGCGGCAAGGTGGACTCAAACTTTGCCCGTTCTGCTCCCAAGAACAGCTTATGCTCCCAAAAACCCTGCATGCAAGCTTCCATAACTTCCTGCACCTACCCCTTCCTTAGCTTCCCTCTGCTTTGAGAAAAAGGTGAATCTCATGCCAACAGGCAGGACCCTGTACACCATGCATCTCACCCTGCTCCATGCTTCAGTCTCCTCCAGGATGAAAGGACCTTTCGTGCCTGGCACACAGGATCTAAGTTCTGGACCAGGAAGCAAAACCTGCCCCAAGAGCCGGAGCAGGAGGCATGGCCCAGCCAGCCTCTCCCAGCCTCCTACTGGTGCTGAGAATGCTGGCTTCCCCAAGACTGCTGCACCAAGGACCAGCGCTGCGACCAGCAGGGTCTGGCTCCAGGGACTGCCACAGCTCTGAGCACACTGGCCCCACTGCAGGGGCCCCTGAGTGCCAGGAGTGGCCATGGCTCGATGCCACTGAGGGCTTGGGGCCCACCTCGCAGGTGAATTCTGCCTCTTCAGCACCTCCCCTAGCAGCACCTTCACCTCCCTGACTGGAGCTGCCCTCCAGGGGACCTGCAGGGCTGGACACCAGAGAAGAGGGGAATGCAGAGAGGCCAGGGTCACGGTGGGGGGACAATCCAGCATGGGCTGCAGAGGACAAACAGGCAGGGGGACGTCCTTACCCTCGGAGTCCAGGGCCTGGATCTTCAGCTCCAGCGGGGAGTCCTCCAGGGAGAGCTCACGGGTGGTGGAAACAATCTGGATGCCGTGAATGAGGTCCACGATGGCGTCACAGCGCAGGACCTGGCCTGTGGCTGGAGAGACCCCAGGGAGGGTCAGCACCAAAGACAGTCCCCACCGCTGGCTCTACCTCTAAGCATTGCAGGCTTACACTCTGGCAAAGACCCCCGTGACCACCAACTTCACCCTCAGAAGCCAAGCAGCTGCCTTGCACACAGCCCACTGAAAGTTAACAGGGACTTCCAGAAAGGAAGGGCTGTGGGGGCCTCGTCACCACCTGCTCCGGCTTTTCCAGCGGGGCACCAGCATGTAAAGCTGTGGGCAAAGGAAACTCCAGGAAAACTTTGTTTTGTTCAGGGTGTGACCATTCAGTGAAGTGACAAGGACTGCAATTTGAAGAGTTCCCATCCCAGAGATGAGAGCCCTGGCCCTTCACCGAGATTAGGGATTACGCTGGTAGTTTTGTTTATTTTCTTATTTTCTTATTATTACTTTTTTGAGACCCAAGTTTTGCTCTTTCCGCCCAGGCTGCAGTGCAATGTTGCGATCTTGGCTCACTGCAACCTCCACCTCCAGGTTCCAGCGATTCTTCTGCTTCAGCTTCCCGAGTAACTGGGATTACATGCTCTGGCTAATTTATTTTTATTGATTGACTGATTGATTGATTGATTGTATTTTTAGTAGAGACAGTTTCACCATGTTGACCAGGCTGGTCTCCAACTCCTGACCTCAGGTGATCCACCTGCCTTGGCCTCCAAAGTGCTGGGATTATAGGCCTGAGCCACCATGCCCAACCACGTTTGTTTATTTTTGCTTCTTTTGAGACAGGGTCTCAATTTGTTTACCAGGCTGGAGTGCAGTGGCTCCTGGGGTCAAGTGATTCTCCTGCCTTGGCCTCCCTAGTATCTGGGACCACAGGCATACGCCACCATGCCTACCTAATTTTGAAAACATTTTTATAGAGTCAGGATCTTGCTTTGTTGCCTAGGCTGGTCTTACACTCCTGGGCTCAAGTAATTCTCCTGCCTTGGCCTCCCAAAGTGCTAGGATTACAGGTGTGAGCCATTGTACCTGGCCTATGCTGGTGTATTTATATGATTACCAAGTATATTATAGAAGGGGCGCATGGACACTCATACACATTTTTTTTACTTGCTCTATAAATAAGGTACTTAAATGGCATTACCTGGGGAATTCTCAAATGTAGGGATAGCAGTAGGATAAAAAATGTTTCTGACCGTTCTCCAGGCACCATATAACAATACTTGTGCATTGTTAACACTGTTTTATTGGAAAACAGTACAGTCCCATGTATCAAAAGCCTTACAAATAGACTGAGCAAGGTGGCTCATGCCTGTAAGGGCACTCAGCCCTTACTGATGTCCTCTGCGAAGATGATGCTGGTGAGGTGGGCAGGCTGGGTCAGGCGGGCCTGCACCACCGCCTTCTGGGAACACTGCTGCTCATCCGGGCCCAGCAGCTCAATGCTGGACACCTCTGGCCCGGTGGACAACCTGCAGTGGAAGAAGAGAGCTTTTACTTTCTGGAGCTGTGCTGCAAGGCACAGCGGGGTCCAGACACCAGTCTGTGGCTCCCATCTGGGATGCTGTCCTGGACCCAAAGACAGAATTGAGGTGGGCAGCCTAACACCAGCTTCAAACCCAGAGGAGACGTGGGGCCCTGCCGAGGCTCCTCCAGTTAAGACCTCCACAAGCTGAGGGCCCTGGACCCTGTGCACACAGTCCCCATAGAGCAAATCAAACAGGAGACCTCAGACCTGGAAAGGAACTCAAGGTTCAACAGATGGCCACTGTCCAAGACTCCCGCAGACATGGGAGTCATTCAATATCAGCAGGAAAGGGGTCCTATGAGGGACACATGGCACAGGGAGGGAGCACAGACATCTCGGCCAACCTCTAGCCCAGGCCTGGCACACAGCAGACTTCGGGCATCAGCTTCCAACCCCAGCTGATTCTACTAATCCTGAAAATCACTGCCTGTAATGATAACCACAATCACGAGCTCCCCGCACCTGTGAAGCAGGTATTATAGCCGTGGTAGGTACACAGACAAATAAACATATCCGCAAATGAGCCTAACATTCTGTGAGCTAATTTTACTAGAGGGGATAACAGAAGGAAGTGAAGTGTGTTAATGGCCCTGGGCCCAGGTGAGAGGGGGACGAGTGGCAGAGGACAGCAGACTCCACACTGGGTGCGCCCAGCTAGCACGTGCTGTCTACAGAAGGGCACTCAGGCCTGGTGCACAGGTGGAGTGTGTGGTCTCTGAGGGAATGCAGGACCCGGGGTGAGGCAGGGCCACAGAGAGTGTACAGTGTGGCCAAGGTCCCAGGAGGGGCCGCTGTGCAGTGCCTGGCACTCGTCTCTTGGGGCTGCACCCAGCACAGCACCCAACACGGAGCAGACATGCCAGGGGTCTCCTCGTCCTCCCAACTTTGCCTAAACTCACTAACACATCCACAGCCATGGGTATTCTGAAGGAGACTTGTCAGAAACTGCCTGGTGTCAAAAAACAATGGTATGGAACACACCCAGGCAGATGTCCCGCCTTCTGGCTGGATGCCAAGGGTCTCCCCAGGCCAGGCTGGCACAGGGGTCTCTCCAACACGCCTGAGCATGCCGACCACTCCGACACCGCCTGGCCACGCTGGGCGGCAGCAGGAGGCCTGCAGATGGACCTTATAGCCTACTGGAAGTTCACAGAAAATGAGCCACACCTGGCTGGGCACGGTGGTTCATGCCTGTAATCCCAGCACTTTGAGAAGTGCAGGCGGGCAGATCATGAGGTCAGGAGATGGAGACTATCCTGGCTAACACGGTGAAATCCCGTCTCTACTAAAAATAGTAATCCCAGCACTTTGGGAGGCCGAGGAGAGTGGATCACGAGGTCAAGAGATCGAGACCATCCTGGCCAACATGGTGAAACCCCGTCTCTACTAAAAATACAAAAAATTAGCTGGGCATGGTGGCACGTGCCTGTAATCCCAGCTCCTCAGGAGGCTGAGGCAGGAGAATTGCCTGAATCCAGGAGGCGGAGGTTGCGGTGAGCCGAGATCGCGCCATTGCACTCCAGCCTGGGTAACGAGAGCGAAAACTCCGTCTCAAAAAAAAAAAAAAAAAAAAAAAAAAAAAAAAAAAAAAAAAATTAGCCGGGTGGTGGCGCATGCGCCTGTGGTCCCAGCTACCCAGAAGACTGAGGTAGGAGAATTGCTTGAACCCGGGAGGCGGAAGTTGCAGTGAGCCGAGATCATGTCACTGCACTCCAGCCTGAGCGACAGAGTTAGAATCCGTCTCAAAAAAGAAAAAGAAAAAAATGAGCCACACCCATCAGGGAAGGAAAGCAATCTACACCCTCGAGGAAGTGTGTCTGTGGCCCCTCGTGGATTTCTTCCAAGAAAATACACGCACAGACTCCGGAAAGAGTAAAGCAGGCACGAGCGCACACGGGAGACGGGAAGCAGGTGCCTGTGAACACGTCCCACACCGGCTGGAAACACTCGGTCCAACTGCTGATAGCACTGGGGTTCTGTGGTGTTTTTCAAAGGACTTTAAACTTCCCACACACGAGCACACAAAACAGAGTGCGAAAGGAGGACAAATTAGAGAATGTACACGGGGCAGAGAAGACTAAGGAGAGGCCACAAATCCGTACAACGTGGAGACCTGGATTCGATCTGAGGACAGAAAAAGGAGCTTCGTGGAAGAGCTGGTGAAGCTGAAATCGTTTGGAGTTCAGTGTGTATTCAGGTACCAATGGTGACCTCTTACTGTGACAAATGTGGCAGGGCTGCATTAAGGACCCATACAGGCCTGAGATAGCCCTGCACAACCGACATGTAACACAGGCCACGTTTCCATTTTCTGTCAAAAAGTAACAGGTGAAAATAATTTTTTTTTTGAGACGGAGTTTCGCTCTTGTTACCCAGGCTGGAGTGCAATGGCGCGATCTCAGCTCACCGCAACCTCAGCCTCCTGGATTCAGGCAATTCTCCTGCCTCAGCCTCCCGAGTAGCTGGGACTACAGGCGTGCGCCACCATGCTCAGCTAATTTTTGTATTTTTAGTAGAGACGGGGTTTCACCATGTTCACCATTGAGACCAGGATGGTCTCAATCTCTTGACCTCGTGATTCACCCGTCTCAGCCTCCCAAAGTGCTGAGATTACAGGCATGAGCCACGGCGCCTGGCAGGTGAAAATAACTTTTATTAAACTTTGATTTCACAAGTTTTAGGTGCACAGCAAAACTGACCAGAAAATATGCAGTTCCCATACATGCCCTGCCAGCACATACACAGCTTCCCCGCCACGCGAATCTCCACCAGAGTGGTGTATTGATTACGACAGGACGACCTGCTGTGACCTCACAATCACTCAGAACCCCCAGCTGACAGGAGGGTGCACATACAGCATCCCACATCCTGGGGGTTTGGACAGATGGATAATGGCCCGCACCTGCCATAACAGTATCCTTCCAAATAGTGCCACTGGCCTAAAAGTCCTCTGTGCTCTGTTTGTTCCTCCCTATTTTTAAATCCCTAGTTGACAGGCCATATTTTACAAAGTAACAAGTTATTCAAATAATATATGTGATTTACCCGACACATGGCAAAGATTATACTTCTGACATGTGGTACCGGCTGCATTTTCAGCGCTTACAGTCACACATCTTAGTCTGTTGGGGCTGCCATGACAAAATACCATTAGGGGGTCTTATGACCACCCTTCTGACCCCGTCACCTCCCAAAGTCTCCACCTCCAGATGCCATTGCTTTGGGAATGAGGTTTCCACACATGAGTTTGTGGGGACACAAACATTTGTTCACGTGGTGAGTGGCTCCAATGCTTGCCTGGCTTAACCTCCCAAGTAGCTGGGACCACGGGTGTGTGACACCATGTCTGGCTGATTTTTTATTTATTTTATTATTATTTTTTTGAGACTGAATCTTGCTCTGTTACCCAGGCTGGAGTGCACTGGCATGATCTTGGCTCACTGCAACCTCTGTCTCCTGGGTTCAGGCAATTCTCCTGCTTCAGCCTTTCAAGTAGCTGGGACTACAGGCTTGCGCCACCATGCCTGGCTAGTTTTTGTATTTTTAGTAGAGACAGGGTTTTGCCATCTTGGCCAGGCTAGTCTTGAACTCCTGACTTCAGGTGATCCACCCGCCTCCGCCTCCCAAAGTGCTGGGATTACAGGTATGAGCCAATGAGCCTGGCCTTGATTTTTTTTTTTTTTTTTTTTTGAGACAGAATCTTGCCCAGGCTGGAGTGCAATGACTCGATCTCGGCTCACTTCAACTTCCACCTCCCAGGTTCAAGCAATTCTGCCTCAGCCTCCTGAGTAACTGGGATTACAGGTGTGCACCACCATGCCTGGCTAATTTTTTAAATTGTTTCTTTAGTAGAGATGGGGCTTCACATGTTGGCCAGGCTGGTCTTAAACTTCTGACCTCATGATCCACCCGCCTTGGCCTCCTAAAGTGCTGGGATTACAGGAGTGAGCCACCGCGTCTGGCCCTGGTGTTGATTTTTCAAATTTTTTATAGAGATGGGGTTGTGCCATATTGCCCAGGCTGGTCTCAAACTCCCGGGCTCAAGCGGTCCTCCTGCCTCGACCTCCCTAAGTACTGGGATTATAGGTGGAGCCACCGAAGCCAGCCCAGTTTCTCATTTTGATGCTGGCTGCTGAAGGACACCCAGGGACAGACAGCAGATTTTCTTCACTGAGAATCAGTCCCCATGTGCAACCTTTGTTTGAATCCATTATTGTCTTTTTCTTGTCGTTTTTGTATTCCTCCAACAAAGTCTGGAAATGCATTCACAATGGAGAGAGCTGTTGACATCTTTACGTCAAAAGACCATGGAAAAAATAATTTATTCTCAGGCCAAACTTAGAATCTCTTCATCACTAGCTGCCTAGAGGAGCCCCTGAATCAAAGTAGGGCTTGGGAAGCTCTTGCAGTTTGGTGTACATTTAAATGCCCCCCAGACTGATTGCATGTGGGGAATAATCATTTTCTTTAGAAGAGACTATGTAGAAAGTCAACACAGCACAGTGACCAAGGGTGTGGGTGCTGTTGCCTGATGGCCTGAAATCAAAGCCACCTGTGCCTGAAAATGCGACCTGGCCCCTCTGTCCTCAGTTCCCTGTTCCAGCATGTGGAAATGTGAATTAGGGCCCACTTGTTACTGTTACGTTATGAGGCTAAGGATAAGTTGATACTGAGAAGCCTGAAGAAAGATGCCTGGTCCTGCCTAAGTGCTGCCTACACCAGTGTTTGGTGGTTGCATGTCTGGGAAGATAAGTAAGGCGTGCAGCACTGATGGCTTGCAGATAGGGAATGTGGAAGGTGGCAGGCCGGGGGCACCAGGCCTCACTCCTCCACGAAGGTGTGGGCCTGGTGCTTCACAGCTCCTGGGACAAATCTGTTATCCCTGAGGGTAGAAGGTGGGCAGAAGAGGGGCTGTGACTCCTATTTGATGGTTCAGGGCACTAC